GCTTATGAGCGAGTATCTGAAATTGGGACACATGAAGAAAGTGGAAAATGGATCAATAGCAAACAAGGTCACCTATTATCTTCCACGTCACGGAGTTTTTCGCGATGATACATTAACTACTAAACTACGTACTGTGTTTGACGCCAGTGCTCCTAGTTCTTCTGGATACTCTCTTAATCATTTACAAATGAACGGTCCCATTCTACAACAAAATTTATTTTCGATTCTTCTACGATTTCGGCAGCATCCGATTGTAATTACCGCAGACATCGAGAAGATGTATAGGAATGTTAATATCACTGAGGAGCAATTACCTTTGCAGCGTATACTGTGGCGAAGTGATCCCGATGAACCACTTGAGACGTATGAGCTTCAAACGGTGACATATGGAACCACAGCAGGATCGTTTTTGTCAATTCGTTGTCTTTTCCAACTCGCGTTGGAGAATGAACAAACTTTTCCCGAATTTGCCGCTATTATCAGATCAGATTTCTATGTGGACGATATGTTGACAAGCTGTCAAAATATCGATGAAGCAGTTCGCATATGCAATGGCGTTTCACAAATTTTAAGTCAAGGTTGCTTTAATCTAAGAAAATTCGTGTCCTACAGTGTCGAAGTACTGAGTCAAATACCAGGAAGTGATGACAACTTGAAAATTGTCAATTTGAGCGAAAATGAGAGTTCGAAAACGTTAGGTTTGATTTGGAACCCGACATCAGATAAACTGATGTATAAAATAAACACAAAAAATCCAACCAAGCAAGTCACCAAACGTGAAATTTTATCACGCATTTCGCAGGTTTTCGACCCTCTTGGAATTTTATCGCCATGTATCATTATTGGGAAAATTCTATTACAGAAACTTTGGTTAGAGAAACTCTGGTGGGATGAAAGTCTTCCTTTGTCTCTCCACACAGCCTGGACTATTTTAAGAGATGAGCTTCCATTATTGAATAGCTTAGAAGTCAGCAGACATGTAGTATGCAATAATCCTCAAAAAATAGAATTGCATGGTTTCGCCGATGCGTCAGAAAAGGCGTATGGTGGTTGCATATACATTCGCTCTGTTGATAGGGACGGCAACGTGACCGTCAGATTACTTTGTGCTAAATCCAAAGTTTCACCTCTTAAAACAATTACTATGCCAAGGTTAGAGTTGTGTGCTTCTTTTGTTTTGTCCAAGTTGGCAGATGAAGTTGTTAAGTCATTGAGTTTGTCTTTTGATGAAAAATTTTTGTGGTCTGATTCCACTGTTGTACTGGGTTGGCTAAAAACTGAACCCAGTCGATTAAAGTCGTTCGTAAGCAATAGAGTGGCAGAGATACAACAACTTACTGCCACCTATTTTTGGAACCATGTCCCTACCAATTGCAACCCCGCAGATATTCTTTCTCGTGGTGCCAAACCAAGCGAAATACAAAGTTTAAACCTCTGGTGGTTTGGGCCTTCATTTCTATTGCAGGACAAGTCTGATTGGCCTAATTCCAATCTCCAGTCTAACGATTTGCCAGACATGCGTAAAGGGGAAGATACTTTAATTTTTCATCAAACCGTTGTGTGTGATTTAATAAATCAATTTTCTAGTTTAACTAAATTGAAAACAGTTGTTGCTTACCTGCTTAGATGGAAAAATAGAGTTAAAAAACCAAAAATCGAACACCAAATAGGTATACTTTCAGTATTGGAATTAAACAATGCATTTACTGTTTTAATCATAATTTCTCAGAGCGAAAGTTATCCGAAAGAAATTTCAAGACTGAAAAGTAATAAATCATTATTTCATGACAGTAAAATTTTGAATCTTAATCCTTTTTTAGACGACAGCGGCGTTTTGCGAGTCGGAGGTCGTCTTCGAGCATCTAATTTTAAATTTGAAAAGAAACACCCAGTTATATTGTCAGAAAAGCACAGACTTTCGAAATTATTACTAGAAGAGGAACACATTCGTTTATTGCATTGTGGTCCCCAGCAATTATTGGCTTCGGTTCGCAATAATTACTGGCCAGTAAATGGCAGATCTCTGTGCAGGCAAGTTGTCCATAAATGTGTAAAATGCTTCAGATTTAACGCTAAACCTTCTGTTCCGATTATGGGAGAATTGCCCAGCGAACGTTTAAACTCACGGCAGCCGTTTGAGGTGGTGGGTGTAGACTACGCTGGTCCTATATTGGTAAAAAGCAAAATTGGTCGCTCCTGTCGTCTTTCCAAGTCATATATATGTTTATTCGTGTGCTTTGTAACAAAAGCCATACACTTGGAACTGGTATCCGATTTATCAAAGGATGCATTTGTAATGGCATTGCCTAGATTATGTGGTCGCCGTGGTTGTCCCTCCATGATATTCTCAGATAATGGTAAGAATTTCGTTGCCGCGAGCTCGGAATTACGCGAATTGGGTAAATTTCTAAATGAAAATCAAGAGGGCATAGAACAGTACGCTGCCAGTATCAACATAACTTGGAAGTTTATTCCACCTTATTCTCCACATTTTGGTGGATTGTGGGAGTCTGGTGTTCGCAGCACAAAGCATCATTTAAAAAGGGTTATTGGGGAAACACATCTTACTTTTGAGGGTTTATATACACTTCTAGTGCAGGTTGAATCGGTGCTCAATTCAAGACCTCTTTCACCTTTATCGTCTGAACCCGATGACTTATTACCTTTGACACCCGCTCATTTTCTTGTCGGCAAACCGCTTACTTCTGTGCCAGAGTATGACGTTAGCTCGATTCCACAAAACAGACTATCACTTTATCAGCAAATTCAACAAATGAAGTTCCACTTTTGGAAACGATGGAGTAAGGAATTCATAGCAGAACTTCAGAAACGCGTCAAATGGAAGTATAATGAAACCAATAACTTGAAGGAGAATACGTTGGTCATCATAAAGGAGGATAACCTGTCCCCGTCTCATTGGAAGCTTGGCAGAATTATCCAGATTCACGCTGGAAAAGATGGCGTTGCGAGGGTGGCTACGATAAAGACTGCTTCGGGTGTGGTGAAACGCGGATTTCAAAAAATATGCCCTTTGCCCGATGCGTAAGCATCACAAATTAAGTATTTTTTAGACTTTCTTTTCGACTTCTACTTATAGGTCTTGTGTTGAAGCTTGGTGTCTTCAAGTTGGGGGGTATGTTTGCGCCCGCACTATATTTTTTCTTTATTTTTGAGCTGTACGCGGGTAAATCTTGGGGTGCTTTCTTACGAAGGGTCAACGACCTTTGTGTTATCGATCGAGATTTTCTGTTTCACGGAATGTGTGCAAGAGACGTCCAAGACAGTACTATTTTGCAGTAGAGACAATATAGACCTCGTTTCATTTCTTTATCTATATTGTGAAACTTGCACAAAGAAAACTATTTCTTTTATTAAGAGTTTATATTTGTTTTAAGTTTTTGATTTGTTTATTAAAAAGTTAATAAAAAATCTCTTTACTGGTCAAAATAGTTTGAAGTTACTTAACATAAGAAAATTACAAACAACTTATTATTACGTGTTCGGCATCGTTCGGAAATTCGATTGTCTTTTTGTGTCGGTAACATATGAATATGTGTCCTGGACGTAGACAGTTAGTGCATAAGTTGGCACGCTTTGCTTGCGAAAATTCACTGGCTACTGGTAAATCATGAAATTTTTGGCAAGAATATAGAAAAGGATTTTCTTTGCACAATGCACAAGCAGGATAATTATTTGAAGTAAGTAAGGTTTTACGTTCGTATTTAGGTTCATATTTTCCAGATTTTTGATTAAAGTTAGGTTTTTTATTGGTCAATTTAAAATTCAGAGATTCATGGAATCGGCAACTTTGAGATAGAAAATTTATGAAATCGTTAGTCTTAGGGTTTTCAATGTTGCTATTTAAATTGCTATTTGAATCTAATTTTATGGTAAGAATATAAATTATTAAGCTACACCACTCGTCGACAGGCTCTTCTAGGGTTTGCAAGGATTTAAAGTTATTTTATTTAAAGTAAAATTCGTCCCTTACTTGGTTGATATCAAAGATACATTTGATATGTGAATGTATAATAGCCTTTTTATTTTCAAAGCGCTCTTGTAATACAGACCAGGCGGTGTGGTAATTAGTTTCTGTGGAAGCTAAGGAGTTGATGAGTTGAGCAGCCTCGCTGGATTGTAAATAGTAGAATTTTTCGATATTAATAATTTGTGAATTATTCCCGATAAGCGAAACGAACGTGTCCTTAAAAGTATTCCAAGTTTCATAGGAGCAACTAAATTTGGGTAGGAAATGGGAGGAAGGCGTGGACCATACTGGGTCTCAGATTGAGAGAATGGTGAATGCGCGACAGAACTGGAATTCAAGTTTCCGCCTAGGTTTGGTGTCTGAGTGGCATTAATTTTTTCTAAAATTAATTTAGCTTGAGAAATATTATTAAAATATAAATTTTCAAAATAATCTCGTTCCTGACCTTGCCTGGTCAGTAGCTTCCTCAAACTGATTGTTGAGGCATAGTTGGTCAATTTCAATCTGAACAGATTCAAATTCAGTATTTAAAGATTCAATTCTATTAAGTCAATTTTTAGACGCGGGTCGTCTAGGATTAAACACCCAGTTTCTACAAAATTTTGAAAGCGGTTAGTTTGGTTGGTTATGGCATCTCGGCGAGCCACCAGATTGTTATGAAGATCAACTTGCCTTTTAGATTCGGCAGATTCAGAATACTTTTCTCTAAAATTAGGGTTTACCTTTTCACGTCTAGGCATTTTGAGGGGGTATAGGGTTTAGGTGACTTGAAGAAAATATGGTTGAAAAACACTAATAATCTTGAAAAATTGTCGAAATATCACCCGAATAGTTCAAGTTGGAGCAGCATCAAAATTTCATTAAATTTATTGGTATAAAGTGATTTGGAATGGACTGACCTGATATTGTAGTAGGGTATAAATGTATAAAAATGCAGAGGCTCAGGGGCGTTAGCCTGGCTTGGCTTGCTGGCGGCTCCGTTCTCGTAGGTTAGGTTTTCAGACGGTCTTACCTGATAATAAATATCCGGCTCGAATTGAGGACCAAAATATTGGGCAGAATTCCTGTGGTTTCGGAGGATCTTTCTAAAATTTCATACAATTAAAAAAAAAAAAAAAAATTTTTGAAAGTCAGTTGTCACTTTTTTGCGCAGGGCTTGCTTCTCCTTTTTTTCTCTCCCTGACGTGTGTTCACGGTTTTCGCTTGAATAGGCGTTTTCACTTAAACTACACAGAGGCGGAACATTTTGGTTATGTATAAATGAAAGACGAATAAAAAGTTTCAAAACGATAAGCATAAAGAACAAAAATAATCTATTTTGATAAGTGACCAGCTAGAGTCTCCATTGAATCTGCAATTTTTTTCATGGAATTATTCATGCCCTCTGCCTAGCCCTCCATGTTCTTCGGTAATTATGTTTCTGTAGCACATCTGTGGGCATTTCATGAATGTTTTTTTTTTGCCAGTACTTCCTTCAGCCGAGGTACTGGCAGCTTATGTTTGTCTATACCCAGCAAAATTACCTGGGTAAACAGCTTCCACATCAATCTTTGCTGTGGAACCTTGGACTTCCTGAATTTTATCATAGGTAAAGGTATGATCCTCAAGCACAAGCATGGGGTCTGCTGTAACATCCACCAATTGATCAAGGATTTCTTCTTCGGCCACAGCACTGACTTCTTCTACATCAGGATTTTTTTCCCTTGATTCCTAAAAAAAAGTGGATATTTTTAATTTTTCACAATACTTACAGAACAAAGATGATTTTTTTAGGAAAGAGTAGAATTAAAAATAGGTACCTATAAAGTCCGTCGATTTTAATCTAATACCCCAAAGGAATTTCAGCTGGTAACTTCCTACATGGTCTCCTGAACGTCACACCTGTTTTTGCCATAAGCTTGACTCCCTCGCTTCTCATACGGAAAGTGTCAGATAAAAAACGACGGAGAATACATATAGGTTAATAAATAAAATAATGGGTACTATATATTTATAACAACTGATAGTAAAACGCAAAATAGATTTTGACTTTTTTAATATTATGGTACACCATGGCCCAAGTAGCAAATAATTAGAAATCAATTTTCACTCTGAAGACTCCAAGAAAATGCTAAAAATTTAATTTAATAATAACCCAGCAACTTACCTCTTTCCGAAGCACTATCATCTCCAAAAATTGCTGTTTGGCCCATAATGGAATTAATTTTTCCTTCAAACTGCTAATGCTGTTGTATCTACTGGGCCTCCTCCAGTTTTTGTAAATAGTTTGCAATTTTGACTTGCCTTTTTTTTTTGTTTTTGACTTCCACTCTGCCAAGGTTTTCTTCCACTCTTCTACACTTCTTTTGCCTTGGCCCAATGAAATCAATTTATTTGCTAAGTATTGCCATATATTTTCAAAGTTCTGCTTTTCTTGCAGATGGGTAGCGAATTTATTTGTAATAATTTCATTGTGAATTTCTGCGTACTCCAAAATCAATCTTCAGTGATCTTGTGTAACACGCATGTTCCTTTTATCAATTTTTTTGCAATTATCCAAATAGAAATTTAAAAAAAGTCGAGTTGTTTGTGAATAAATAACCGAAAACTGAAATTATAGATTAGGGGACAAAAAGGACAAAAATCTATGCACAATCTTGATACAGAGGGCATCTTTTTTTTAAGTTGTCTCACTCCGACTCATTTGCGACAATGTAATTCGATAACTACCAGTACGAGGGTTCGCGGGGTAGGAACATTACGTTAGAACTCTGTATCAGAGTGCCAACTTTTCGAAAGTGACGTTACTTTTCTAAGCGAAAGTATTTTTCTATCAATTAGGGTCCCCGTCCTGATCTCAGCTCTGGTATCATTTCCGAATGACTGCTTCAGGATGGAGATTTTGCGTCAATTGTCAGAATTTTGTTACAAAAATTTAGTTACTTTCTCGCACTGAGTTCGGGTAAAAAACTTTCCCGAATTTCATGCGGGAAAATGACACTTTCTGAACTGAAATGAGTGCGGGAAAAATGGCAAAATCGCACGGTCGTTGAAAAAAATATTTAAACGGCATTTCATGCTGTTTTGATATCCATTCAGGTACACAAGATATGAAGGAAATTTCCCAAATAAAAATGCGAAGGTGTTTTTAGGGCCGATCCTATGGTGTCGGCCGCCCGCGTGTAAATAACAATTCTGCCATCCCATAGAGATAGCCCTCCATATGCCGGCGTCGCCGGAGGCAAATTTTTTTTCAGGGTGCTACGCCCAAAAACGTTCATTTCGAACCTTAAAATGAACGTTTTTGGAGGTTTCGAGTCTCCAAAAAAAAAAAAAAAAAAAATTGTATAATTCTGAAGGTAAAAATATCATTAAACTAATTTAAAAAAAAAACAAAAATGCTATCTGTTATAAAAATTTCGGTTTTTTTGGAGCATATTTGTTTTTTGTGAGTAGTTTGCATGCGGTGTGTGGTCAATATAGTGACAGATACTATGCTAAAAGTGAGTATGTCCTGAGCCTGGGCCTGGATACGAAACTAAAAATAGGACCCCAGTGCTTAAACAAAGACACCCTAGTCCCTAATCGTAATACTCACCTACATAACATACCCACTAACACACCTGCACTGGGAAGCTAAGAAGTTGGTGAAATTGTTAGCAGAGTATTCACTTAGTGCTATTGGACGGTTAGTTATTCTTGCAGATTAAGAACGAAAATAAACATTTTTAAAAAACAAAGCCCAAGTTTTTATTCAGAAATATAATTTGAAAAAATTCGAATGAGAAATAATCTAATAATGAAAAATAATACAATATGTATATTCATAAAACAAGCATAAATCTTGTGAAACAAAAAGTCTATAAATCGGTCCGAGGTGACTACAATAACTAATAATATAATCAACATCAACTATCAAATAACTTTTCTAGCTTTCTGAGAAGCAAATTTGTCAATAGTTTCGGTGAAATCTATTTTTTTGGAGATTTTCAATTATTTTTTATTTGCTGAAACTTCTTTCGCCTGAAGCCACAGCAACAGGTAAGTTTAAAAATATTCTTATTGCTAGAGCAAAATTAGGGAAGCAGGGAATAAGATCAGTTTTTACTATAATTTCTAAAATCTCAGTTAGTTGTTTTTGGCCTGGGAAAATATCTTTGAAGTTACTTCATTAAAGAGTTGCATATCCTCTATATCTTTGCCAATGCCTCCTTCCTCGTTTGTACCTGTAACTTAATATCCAAGTCCATACAGGCTTCCATAAGGTCATCATTAGAAATGTTGTAAACGCAAAAGCAGAATTTCGAATAGTACTCAGATAATAAAGTGAATCTTTCATCTACCAAAAAGACCGCATGGTCAAGGGTTGTAAAATAAAAAGCAGTCTTAAATTGTTTGTAGGGATTTGAAATGAACCTTTTTCCTCATCTTCGAGATATGAAATTCGGGATCAATGCCTTAATCTCTAGCAAGTGACGTTGCTGAATCGACGAATTTTTTAAAATTATCATCAGATCTTTGCGAAACTAAATATTTTTCAAGATTATCTAAGCCTTGAATGCATTGCGCGAGATTTAATTTAGGATTTTGAAGCATTTCACACAAGACATTAATTCTTGATAAAAAATCATGCCAAATTCAAATTGAACACAGAAACCTAAATGTTTCGCGATTTTTATCTATTGATCTAGCGCCCATTTTTATTTTAGCGTCTCTGGTAGTATTTTCAAGGTGGGCATTTAACGCTGTAATAATGTTCTTTAGGTTTTGTATTAGAGGTTTAATAGCAATGATACGACTTTCCACACTTGTTCTACTTAACGGTTTTAAAGTCAGATCATTCACATGCATTTTTAGTAAATCCCATCGATATTGGGACGCAGAAAAGAAATTATATGTATACCATATTTCACCACTGGAGGTGGAAGCCGTTAATGACGCTTCCAGCGAGATTTAATATATGAACCGCACATGGAACGTTTAATGCTCTAGGATTGATATTGAGAATCCGTTTCTGGAGTCCTATATTTTTATAAATTCATGTTCGATCCATTGTCAAAGCCCTGACCCCGTATATCTTGAACTTCGAGCTGCAGACTAGGTAATAGTTTTTCTAATATTCTTCTACAGTGGTAATAGTTACTGGAAAAAATCCTGGAAAAAACTCCAAAATATCTGCCTTACCACTTATACAGGATGTATCAGTTATGAATACAAACATTTTAACATGAGATAATATGGCCCATTTTAAGCTAAAACTGTCCTATTAACCATGAGTCAATTGTTTTTATTTTCGGAGTTATCGCACATTTTAAATTTAGAAAAATGTTAACAACGTGACAACTTTGTACAGATATTATCTCTGCCAGAATATAAATGTGAATAAAACTGGTAAATTTAAAAGGTTTTTTTTTTTTTGCAAGGAGTTGATTTATTTCTACCTGTTTACGTTTTGGTTTGTTATTGGATTTCAAAAATGTATATACTAATTTGCATTTCTATCACTTCCCTGGTAAAAATAGAAAATGTGCCGTTTCATTAAGTTGTGAATTACAGTCAATGAATTGGATATACCTACTTAGCTACTTGCCAAATCCTTATTATGAACATCTTAATTTTTGTCAAAAGGTTCTCAAAATACTGAAATCATCTCGCAGATTTTGCACACTCACACTTTCCGTATCTATCAATCTTTGTTAAACGGGCACAATGTTCTTTCATCAGGGTCCTTGTTCTTGAAACAGGTGTAACGTCACATTTTTTTTTAGGCAACTGTATTTCGCAATATACTCTGCTTTGATGTCTATTCCAATTTCAAGTAAAGCAACAGGTTAACATTTGTCACTTATGATTCTTTTGGTTATATCTATTGAGATCTTGGCCTTGGCAGATCATAAGCAGACTTGTATTTTCTTATCATAAATTGGTCTTAACGGTGTACGACAACGATAATCTGATCTTCTGGTTTTTTTTTAAGGAAATCAATGCCCCTTATTAACAACTTTCAAGTCTAATTTCTTTTTCTATCAGCTGTTTTGATTTGGTCGGTCAAATCAAGTCAGGTGGCTTCAGATGGGAGTTTCCACTCGATTTTCGGTCTAATGCGTGCCGGTTGTCTTAAAGGGGGTGTGACCCTAAAAAACGACTTAAGCTAATTAAATCAAGAAAAAAAATCTACGATCTCTTCTGAAAACCGCAGTCCTATATTCAAAATAGTCTCCGACAAAATTTCTTGTGAAGATAAATTATGCAGGAACTTGTGATGTCACACCGCCGAAATCGCAGTCTTCTGTTCGTTCAGTCATCAGTGAACGGTACCCTATACTTTGAGTGGTTGCAATTCGCTCTAGTGAGATGATTATCTTTTGTTTTCGAAAATTTTACACGTGTGATTACTGTGCCTGATAATTCGGTGTGACGTCACAAACACGTAGTTGTAACTTTAAACCGCCTTAACTTGAAAACGGACCAACGTAGCAAAATGCGGTTCAAATATTTATTCTAAGATTTTTTTGCACTTAAACTTTCATTTTTGGATCACACCCCCTTTAAGACTTGAAAGTAGTATTCCGAGATCAAGGCGATTTTTTTTGTGACCTCGAGTGTACAGTGGTTCTTGTTGTGATTTGCAGCTGCATGGTCAATGCATAATGTGGGTGTTATGTTGTGAAATATGGAATACATTATTTTTTTTTTGAAAGGGATTTTCTGTGGTGTGATTTGAAAGGAAGAATCATTGTAATTATGGCCGCCTTGCCACTTTCAGTATTCTGAAAACTTCGAGGAACCTCATGGGACCCCGAGTTCCCATTTTGTGTTAGTTGTTGAGTGGTTTTGGGTAGAAAAGTCGCACCGTAGTCCGAAGAGTTATTTTGCCAAGAAATTGGATTTTAGTATTTAATTAGTATAAATGCATTTTTCCGAATCTGCTAGTCTGGAAAATAAAACTTTAAATAATAAAATTGTTAGGAATTTGATTATTTATAATGAAATATATAATAAATAATTATTAACATAACATGCATAACAAAAAATACATTCTTTTCCGCACTACTTTTGAAGTAGAATGCAAGGCGGGTTTTTTTTTGACATGGTATCCCCAGTAGGCCTAATCCATGTTTTCTATCTTAGCAAAAGTTTCTTAACATTATAATTTTTTGCACATGCCTTCCTCCTCTTCTTCGTCAGGATCAACAAATTATCTTCGTCAGACGCTTTCTCTCTATTTGTTGGCTCTATGTCTGTTGGCAAAACCCCTCTAGATCACTGAAGTCTTCGATGTTTTACAACTCTGTTGACGGGTTCAGGCATGCCTGTTCGTGACACTGACCACAAACTTTGGAGTATGGCAGCCCGACTTTTCTACATCCGCACTGCGCACCACTCTCCTTTTTACAATTACAGATTATTGTATTTAATAGTTCGTCTGAGGCAAGTGGCAGTAGTATTGTTTTCGGCTTCAATATTCGGTTTTTTAAACCCCAACCT